CATCTACTTGGTCAAGAGGTACCCAAGAAAGATGCTTTTAGATACCTGGGGATCAATTTTACAAAAAGATGGTGAGATTGATGAGGATGTAAATCATAGAATCATAGTAGGATGGATAAAATAGCGGAGAATGCATATGGGTTTTTGTGTGACTGCAAAATTTTCCTTAAGCTAAAAAGAAAATCCTATAGAATAGCAGTAAGGCTTGCAATGTTATATGGAGCTGAATGTTGGCCAACACATAGGCAACACGAGCATAAAATAGGAATAGCAGAAATAGGGATGTTAAGGTGGATGTGTGGTTATATGAGGATGGATAAGATAAGAAATGAAGATATTCAACGAAAGATAGAAGTAGTACCAATAAATGAAAAGATGAGGGAACATAGATTGAGTTGATTTAGGCACGTAATGAGACTGTGTCTGGATGCTCCTGTAAGAACAAAAGTTTGTTACCAAGAGCTCAACACAAAGAAAAGTAAAGGTAAACCAAAACTTATATGGGAAAGGTAGTTAAACAAGACTTAATGGAGTGGGATATAGATTAGCGGATGACATGTCTTAGGATGAAATGGAGAAATGCTATAAGCAGGGTGGAAGGTTAAACACGTTGTTATTGCTATATTCCAGATGGTCCTTTTTTAGTCCTTTTCCTCTTTAATCCCTCGTCTCGTTTTTTTTCTCTTCTTGTCTTTTATCTTATTTCCCTCTTCCCTAATTTTTAATTAATTAATTAATTAATTATTTATTTATTTATTTTAATCTTCTCTTATTTATCATTGGGTTCATCTACCACCGACCCCAATTAGCTTGGTTAAATGTGTTGTTGATATTGATGTTGTTTCTTGCGTTGTAACAAAGAGGCTAATCTCATATGATTGGATTTTCTCATTGATTTTTATTTCAATTTTTGGATTTTTTTGTTGTATTACAAAATTGTAATAAAAAGAAGATTCAAGAGAAGCCGAATACAAGGACGTTCGTAATTGTTTGGACGTGTTCGTGATTTTTCGGTGGCCGATCTGAAAATCCCAACCTATGGCATGAAAGAAGATAGAAGCACGAGAAGAATAGTGGTCAGAATGGTCGGAAAGGACATCAGACGTGCCCTCACGCACCACCTGAAGTGGCTGGGCGTGGGCCTCACTCTTCGGTACATATTCGACGCGTGGAAGTGCGTGGTGGATTGGTTTTAGGTGGTTCCGGCAGCATTGTGTTTGTCTCTTCATGGAAGTCCTTCCCCTAGAGTTTTGTGCTGAGATGAGTTTGGGTGACGGCGCGGTGGACGTGACGACTAGGGTTCCTAAAAGTTGACTTATGGTTTCTTGCCAAAGTTTAATATTTTGGCTTTTGAGCCCATGGTTACCATAAAGGGGTTTGAAACAAAACCTATGGACCAGAAGGAATGAATAAGTGAGCTGAGAAGTTTCATTTTGTAATTTTATTTTTTTAGGGAACCATGGATTAAAGCCTAATTTGTAATTGCTTTATGAATGAATTATATGAATTGATAACATGCTTGATATGATAACATGCCAAAGAGAATAAGTGGTGCCAAAATTGTTGCATAACTTGTTAATTACATGAGCATGATGACTGTTATGTTTGTACGACTAGATTAATAGTTATTATTGTAATTAATTCATATTTCGAAAGTCATGGCCACCTGCAGAGGGTGCGTTTGAGAAAACTAAGACGCATTACCCATATTAGGAGATGGCAGATATGGTAGTTCGTTGTTATATTATTGTCAGTCTTTCCAAATACTTGCAGAAGCAAGTGTACATGATTAAGAGTGAAATAGAGATGATTTAGCCTCTTAATGGCATGTTTGCTACGTCTAGCAGCTCTGCGCAATCAGTGTAGGTTTTGCTAAGAGTCTTGTTAAATCCAAAAAAAAACCCAAGGGTGGTAACAAGAATAAAATGACTTAGTTATTAGTTGTCAAACCAGTTGCTATGAATTCAAGTGCGGACTAAAGGGGACACTAGATGAAAGATTACCCAAAGGTGATGAAAAGAACCAGGTATAAGTACTTTAAAGGCTTATTGAGTGGATGAATCTATGATTCAGGAATCACTAACTATGTTTGTTTCTCTTTGCAATGGTTCAAGCATAGAGCGCATGTTACCATTGGACAAAGAAATTTTAAACTTGAAGATGAGGAGCTTGTGTCTGCATTAGCAGTAAAACAAGTTATTTTAACTTTTGAAAATTTATGTTTTTGGTTTTTGCATGACTGTTTATTCATTCTAGATTTGAAGAAGAATTTTATTTCTGTTAGTTGTTTGTGTAAACATAGTTTGACAGTACAGTTTAATTCCTCAGTTTCAATAAGAAGTTCATCTTCTTTTACTCCGATATAGTAAATAGTCTTTATTACTTGAGTCATATATCCTATTGAATTTATTATGTTGAATTGAAAGGATGATAAATAAGAACATTCACCAAAGAAATAAAAGTTTCAAACAGGAAACATGATTTAGTTAAAAAAGGGACTAAAAGTTCCATAATATTTGAACTAAAAGCTACATGTAACTCCTATTTGGAAGGTAAAATGACCAAGTAATCTCACAAGATAAAATGGCAGTCAAATACATAAGATAGCTCTTAACACTTGGGAGCTATCAAAAAGTTTATGAAAAATTCAAAAAAATTAATTTCTTAGATTGTTATTTACCAAGACAAATGTCTAGGTTGTTAAAGAATAGCATATGTATATATATATATATATATGGGGAGAGATCTTCTGACTCTAGAATAATACTTACAAGTCTTACTCCTCATCTCAACCATTAATTTCCGTCCATCTAATGGTTATTATTTATTTGAAATTAATAATTAATTAATTGGTATAGATAACCGTTAGATGGACGAAAATCAATGGTTGAGATAAGGAGTAAGACTTGTAAGTCTTACTCCAGAGTCAAAAGATCCCTTCCCTATATATATATATATATATATATATATATATATATATATATATATATATATATATATATTAGGGGTGGCAATATGGGTTGAGCCCGGCGGGTCAACTCACCAACCCAACAAAACGGGGCGGGTTGGGTTGAGGTTTTTCACCCACTAACCCACCTCAACCCGCCCCGCCTAGAAGTGGGTCAAAACGGGTTCAACCCGCCGCGGGGCGGGTTGACCCACCGGGTTATAATTTTTTTTTTTTTACAATTAGGTAGTATTTCATTAGTCCTTAAATTTTTGTGATATCCAAATTTTTTTTATCTTAGTACTTCCTAGAAAACATAAAGAATAACAATTTTATTTATGACAAATGTTATCTATATATAAATTCCTAAAGAATATTTGACAAATATTAGTATACATTTAAGATTTGAGACTAAAAAAATATAGAGAAGCGTGAAATAAAATAAAATAATATTAAAAAAATTCATAAAATATAATTTATTTTTGAATTTTAATTAATTTTTTTTAATTGGCGGGTTGGTGGGTTGACTCGCCAACCCACCATAAAACGGGGTGGGTTCATTTTTCCAACCCATATTTTTTGGTGGGTCAACCCGCCCCGCCCTATTTTTGGTGGATTGATGGCGGGTCAACCCAAATTGACACCCCTAATATATATATATATATATATATATATATATATATATATATATATAGATGAGTAGTTAATTTGATTCTTTTTGAACTCTAGTTATCTAAGAGTATAATTTGCCATAAACTTATCTATTGAATAAAACTAAAAACAATTGTTAAAAACTTTAATTAAAAAGGAAATATAAATTCATTTAAATATAACATTAATATATTTAAAATATTATTAATTTATTTTATAATGTCTTTTTATTTTTGAAAATAATATATAAAATATAATAAATTTTATTTATTAAATAAACAACACAAAAAAATGAATGAAATAATACATTTAAATATTCTACTATTAATTAATTGCCTAACAAGATCATATTTTAAATATTAAAGTTTAATTATAAAATAAATCTAAGTGTTTCAATAGATTATTTATATTAACAAACTTAACAACAATATTGAGAGAGAAAAAACCATATATTCTATAATTGAGGGTGTTAAACTCCATCCAAATTTGTGAGAAATTTGCACAACTCAAGGAACATGTGGTTGGCTTTGATTAAGACTAATTTTATTTAGTCTTATATCCATTATATTTTTAAGTTTATATTAATTTCTTTTTTCCCAATAGGTTTACCAATTACTTTATTAGTCTTATTCAAGTACAGTCAAACCTATGTTGGGGTGGCTCTTCCAAGACTATATTAGCCCATTTTTTTTTCTCTTAAGTGATTCATCAATTACCTGATTAATACAATTTAAGTATATTGGGAGATGCTCTTTCAAGATTATATTAGTCGTTTAATATTATTATAAAAAATGACATATTCCATTTTTTAATTAATTTTTCTTTTCTATATTATAATACATATTTCTCTTTCTATTATTATATAAGGAAAGGAATCAATGCATTTTTCTTTTATTATAGTTGAAAATATTTTAAAAGGTGGTTATTAAGGTTGATGCTGATAAAAATATATAACCATAATTACAATGGGATGGATCAACTTACACTAATGTAAAAATAATATTTTTGCACCAAATTTTAACCATTATCATTTTCTTGTATCTAACGGTTGTAATTTATTGGGTCGCACTCATTAATTATTTAATAAATTACAATCATTATATGCACATAAATCAACCGTTAAGATTTGATGTAAGACTTATTATTTTTACACCGATCACAAATAATTTAAAGATGTATATAACTCCTTTAATTTGTGTTTGGTCAATAATAGTCATAATTACAACGCATAAATGTACGGTGAAAAAGTATTTATTTAGTATTACAATAATATAAAATGACAGTATTCCATTTTTGAGTTAATATAGCTACTATATATTATAATACATATTTATGTTCCTTTTGTTATATAAGGACAAGAATCAATAGTCGTAGAATTACAGAGAGCGTTAGTTTTTGTGAGATGGAGAAACCTTCAGATGATGAACAGAGAAACGTGGAAGGAACCAGTGCCAGCAGTAGTATAAACAACACTCAGCGTCCGAGGAACCCTATTGAGGAATTGGAAATGCTTGCTTACTTGAGTGATACAGAAGAAGAGGAAGATGATGATGATGATGAAGAAGAAAGTGAAGAAGATGGTAGTGATGAAGCAGAAGAAGTTATGAACGACGATGAGGCCAATGATGGTTTTGCTATAGCCAGTGTTGATAGAGAAATTATTATGCCAACATTTGAACCAAAGGTTTCAGATAACTCCATACAAGCAACTCTTTCTGATCCCGACGTGCTTGATTGCTACATTTGTTCTGAACCTTTGACTATTCCTGTTTTCCAGGTTTGTTTCCTTCATGCATATTATTTCTTAACCTTTCAATGAATTGTGAATATTTGGATTTTTTTTTTTTAGTTATGATGTGGTTAGTGTTGGTGTTACTTTCGTTAACTACATTGGAACTTGGAAAGTTGATTAGGGTTTGTGAACGGTGGCTGAAGTGGAAAGGTGACCGTCGAGGAGGAAAATCGTGTAGGAAGTAGTGGAGGAAAATAGTGTAGGAAATGAAGAATATGATTATCATTATCCCCAGTTCCAATATTCTTGATATACTTAACTCATCTCGAATCTCAGAATGGAGGTTGTAATCAATGACCGATTAAGAACACCATCAACTTTTCCATTTATGTTCTACAGAATACAAGATCTATCAAGTTGTTAGCAATAGGAACGAAAACTTTTTAGAAACATTTTGTACATGCATACATTTGAACATCAACTAATCAAAAATATTCTACATAACCATATGAACTATTATATGATGAGCACCGCTAATAACCTATCTCCTAATATACTCTGGCACATAAATTTGCATGTCCACTTTAAACCTACACATACTGGTACCAATAATCCTTCGTCTAAGCTGGGGCTTATTTTTCATGTGCGAACTTCCTTAACTAACTTGTAACATCCTTTTATGCTTCTAAATTAACCTTGTCCTAAAGGTTAAGATCTGATACACACAACAAAGATCATCTGAGGGTTCCCAAGTAGTGTCTTTAGGTGTTGCGTGAGATCACTGAATAAGGTGTTGGTACTTGTCGGGTCCCTTAACATACACTAAGCTTAAAGCAAAGATAGTAATATGGAGCTCGATAACTTTGTTTTTGTGAGTAGATGGAGGTAATTCAACAATGGAAGTGGATGCTGAACCAAGTAAAGACATTGTTGATACCCATAAAGCAACTTTATAAACGCGTTGATATCTCTCTCAATTGGGAAGGGGGAAAATCGCTTAGAGAGCTTATGATTGGATCTATGAGCAGTTGAAATTTTCCTATACATTGGAGTTTCATTAGCATCAAATCACTTTCTTAATAAATGCGTTTGCACTTTTATCTGTGTTTGTCTACCTGGTTCTTCATTTAGTTGTGAGAACAAGTTGAATTGAGTTTAAGGCTATGCAAAAGCTCATTTTGATGGCAAAGAATGAAGTCAATGGCCTTTATTTGAACTAATCTATTACGGTATGGGGACTGAAGGTTGGTGGTTGGCCATAATTTTTGAAAAGGAGAAATTTAAATCTAGGAATGAATTGTAGTGTTGTAATGCAATGGTGACCATTTTAAGAAGGAGACTGGCAGAAGGCTCTCAAGCATTGCTCAAGATATCAATTCCTCACCTCAGTATGGTTGTCAGATTGAGGGTGATAGGTTGAACTTGTGTGAAGTTTCGTGCCAATCAACTTGAACAATTACCTCCAAAACTAACTTGAGAATATGTTGTCCCTATCTAAAACCAAGGATTTAGGAAGCCAAGGAGTTTAGAGACCATATTAACAAAAAAACTAATCGACTACACAAGCTGTATATGTTGAAGGTAGGGACCAAAATGGTTGTAATTTGTTAGCTTGTAAAAAAAGAACTAAAGTAAAAGTAAAATTACTTGAAACTGGTAAGTTGGTGATGAAGTTTAATGTTAAATCTTGAAACACGTTTTCAGGTACGGAAAAAGGGTTGTAAGGGTCCTACTAGAGCTTATGTGGATAGCTCAATCAGCTGGCATGTGACATATTACTGGATGAAGGCTTTATTGTCATTGCGCATTGTATGCCTATAAAATAAAGCAAAAAGGCAAAGCAACATGTGTGGGGTACCAATATGGCCTCCTATAGGGATTGAATGAGTTTTAAGTAAAATATAGGGTATCAATTTAGAGTTGTACCTATTCTTGTGAAACAAAATTTCATCCTTAAACACAATATCGAGATATGCACAAAGGTCAATTAAAAGCTGCTGCTAAACCTTTTTAAGGTCTGCATCAAGGTTGTTTTCATCTCGAATAACAACAAATATATTGAAGATAGGTTCAAAGCATAAGGCTAGGGACAAACATTCCGAATCTTCATCAAATTATTGTGAAATGGCATCTACAATGATATTGGTGCAACCAGATTTATACTCAATGGTAAAACTATAACCAAGGAGTTTTGAAACATTCTTAAGTTGTGTAGGTGTGTGAATTGTTTAAGACAACAAATCCTTAATACTCAGGTGATTTGTACAAATAATGAAGGGAGCTCCAAGTAGGTAATGGTGCCACTTCTTTGCAACCTCTTTAATCGTATACAATTGGTCGAATGCAAGTGGGGGCAACCTGCATCCTGGGTCCAAGCTTTTTGCTATAATATGATATGGTTTTAGCATGTTGTAATATCATTGCACCTTTGCCAAAGTTTAAGGCATCAATTTCCATAACAAACTTTAATGAGAAATTGGGCAAAGCGAGGATGAAAGTCTGTGACATTAATTTTTATTTATTTATGTAATTCGGTTAATGGCGAAGCCACTACTGCATAATGGATAATAAATCTTCGATAATATCTCGCTAAACCAAGAACACCAAAAGTTGGTTGACATTGGCTAGTTGAGGCCACTCCACTATTGCAAAAATTTTATTTGGGCCCACACTCACACCCTTAGTTAACACCACATGGTCAAGGTATTCAATCTTTCAAACCCTAAAGACACACTTTGAGAGTTTATGAAGATATAATGCTACTAGAGAATCATCCTAACATATTTTCCATGAAGACTAGGTTCACTATTGTATATAATAATGTTATTAAAGAAGACAATGACAAATTTATGAAGGAATGGCTTGAAAATGGTGTTCATGGAAACTTGGAATGTTGTGGGAGCACTGGTTAGCCCAAATGGCATAACCCAAACTTCGTAGTGTCTTTCATGCAATCTGAAGTGATTTTATACTCATCATTTGGAAGAACTCTAATCTGGTGATACCTTGCACATAAATCAAGTTTGGTGAATATAATGGCACCCAACAATTCGTCTAACAATTTATTAGTCATGGGTTTTGGGAAGCAATCTTTAATTGTGATGGATTTAAGTGAATGGTAATCTATACACATCCTCTAGCTACCATCTTGTTTTTTTTGACAAAAAGTACTGATGATGGAAACAAACTTGTACTAGGTTGTATGACCCTTGATTGTAGAAGATCTATAATTTCATTCTCATTCTTTTTCTGAGAATGAATTTATTGATAAGGTCTTACTGCAACAGGCTTGGAATCTTGTATGACCCTTGATTGTAGAAGATCTATAATTTCATTCTCATTCTTTTTCTGAGAATGAATTCCTTGATAAGGTCTTACTGCAACATGCTTGGAATCTTGTATCAAATGAATGGATTAATCCATTCCATGAAATGGAGGCAGCTGGTGTGGAACATGAAACACAATATGAAACTCAACGAGAACCTGCCAATCCTCCAACAAAATACTAGATTTTAAAATCAAAAGTTCAGGTATTACCTCAGCAAAATATTCCATTTCCAAAATGCACACAAAATTCGTCGACATGTCGGTACTTGTTGAAGGTGATCCTTGAAAGAGAACATTTATGCCAAACCTTTGGAACTCAATTGAATTCTTAGAATAGCAATACATCACACAACCAAGTTGTTCCAGCCACTGCATTCTCAAAATAAGATCCAAACTGCTATGCTTCAGAATCCAAAAGTCAGTGGTAAAAGAGTGATTCTAAAGTGAATATTGTATTTGGGCACTTGTGATTAGTGAGAATAAATTCACCAAAACCAATAAAAACCCCTTATATTATGTTAACACACCGTTGGAAGCTCAACATCTTTGCCAACTAAGGTTGAATAAAATTATGGGCGCTTCTAGAGTCAAATCGGACCACAAACTCATGTCCTTTAATAATAGTAGAGAACTCTAAGGCTCTGGGGTTAGGAGATTCTGAGAGAGTGTAAAGTTGCATCATGTAATAGTATGTTTGGTTCACTTGGTTGCCAAACTATTTCTTCATCCACTTATTTAACATCATCATCAATGTCATCCACTAACAATAATAATTTAGTCTTTCTCTTGTGACCTCTTAACCACTTTTCGTTGCAAGAGTAGCATAAGCCCAACTCTATCTTCGTATTTAATTCTACAAATAATTTTGTATAGGAACAGATGGTGTAGGTGTCGCACAATTTTGCAATCAAATAATAATAACTACACAAATACGCAAGTACACATGCCAACAAGTAATATAAGATGTGTGAGTCTAGATATAGTTACCGCGAAGATTATATATTTAAAGCTACGACTCTAAGTGAAGAAATGAGAGTAAAATAATGAATAAGGACTAAACTAAGATCTAAATTATCTAAACTAATAACTAACGATTAAACTAAAACTAAATCTACTGACTAAACATGAGAACACACTAGACAGATTAAGTTTCAAGTATCAAAAGGTAGATTGGTATTGATTTTCCCAATATTGCAACTTCACCAGAATGTGGTAACAATGTTATCGCTATCCTCCATCAGTAAACGGAATACAATTGTATGTGGAAGCGATCACCTTCTACACATGTATATGCAATAACTAATTCTCATATGTCTATGACTTAACTAATTACTGAATTTATTAAGTCAAGATTCCTCCGGCTTTGTGGTGTGAATGACACAACTTAACTAAATTGATTGAACTTAGTTAATCCACATTGCTTATTAAGGTTCCGGGTTAACCTATATATCTATAGCTCAAACCATATAATACTAACAACTCCTTGTCAGTAAGTCAAAAAGATTAAAGATTAAGTACTTTATTAAACAACTAATGGAAAAATAACATAGCAAAGTTTAGGAAACATTGCTTACATCACAATATGGGTACTTTATCACCCAATCCTAACAAATTAGCTCATACTTGACATAAAAAACAAAAACAAAAGAAGAAATAGACTCCATAGGACTAAGATAAAGTAATTGAAGCTTTGTTGTAACTCTGCCATTGCAACAGCTCCTTGCACTTCCATTATCCACTGTCTCTAAGTCTTTTGAAGTGGTGCAAGGATCAATTGGATCCAAATAATGTCTCCATTGGAACCTAGTTTCACCCCTTGACCCGTTGCATGTCTCTTAGTGAGGTCCTCAAAATCTCCTAAGTGTTCCCAACCTTGACCAGCATTATTTTGAAGTACATAGGCTTCTTTTATTTATTTATAGAACAATTTGACTTAGATGTTAAGTAACTCTTCCAATTGAATTCCCTACAATTGTAAGGATTGATAAGCTTTACTTCTTATCCTTTAACTTCTGCAACTTTTCAATCCTTATTCAGTGTTGTAATTGCCTTATCTCTTTGTTCGAATTAGAATTCAAATCATAGTTGCTTATCCTATCTTGAACTCACTGTTTCTTTAAAGCTCAATTGCTATAGCTCTGCTATGACTATAATCTATAATAAAAACTTCAAAGAAAATGAATAGCTCTAGCACTCATAATAACATTAAATATTTACTGGTAGCATATTTTTCATTCAAAACATAAGTAGACAAGATTAATGAAAATATTATGTAAATCTAAGGGAAATATGCATAATAGACGCAATCAAATCATCAAATATAAGCCCAAAAATAATTCTCTAAGGGAGAGTTATCAACAAAGGGAAAGCAAAGGGAAGATTTGTTGGAGTACTACTACTAGATTTAGGAAAGGTAATTTGGGGAGAAAAATTATGATTCACTTGTGTCTTTGAAGAAGAGACGAGGAAAGACTTGAGTTCTTAGTGATGTGCATCGTATGAGACTGCTAACTATTGGGCATAGTGTAGAGTAGTAAGCCATTGTAATTGCACAATCTTCCTTAGTTCTGGTTGGAGGCCGAAAACAAAAAAAACCAAACAGCATGTCGTTTGGGACACTAAGCAATGAGTTTACTAGCCTTTCAAAGTCTCATACATAATCTTGCAACATTCCATTTTGAGAAAGTTTGGATAAAATGCCATGGAAATCCATATGTGATGAAACCCAAATCTTTGACAAACAACCCACGTCAAATCGTCCCAATAATGTATTAATTGTCTTGTTGTTGTGGACCCATTGATACCACAAAGTAGCAACTCCATCCATTTTTAGAACCATTATTTGTACCTACAAATGCTCGGGTACTTGTTGGATGTTGAAGAACATCTTTGCTCGAAAAATCCAGTTGTGCGAGTTCTGGCCATGAAAAATTGATACTTCAACCTTGATAAACTTATGTAACTCATGCTAGTGGGAAGAAAATTCCCTTATGACTTGTGATAGGGTGAAGGACTCATGAAGTTGAGGCATTGTTGAGTTCAAAAACATGTGGAATCTAGCATCCAAAGCATTCATATGGTTGTCTAGGGCTGCCATCGTACCAGCCTCCATGGATACTATTCATTGCTCCAAATGTTGAAGCGATTCTGAACATGTTGAAGTTGGCAAAACGATCGTACTAACAACATTTGGCTAAAGTTTCTCCAGGTCAAAGCACATTTCAAATGTAATAATGGAGTAGAGCAGTCAAATGCGTTGGTCAAACCTAACGAGAGTAGTACCATCAGCATGCTTGGCGAGACCGGGTGCCATATCAGCATCACATACAATGCCGTCAACTTGGTTGATGCATTTGTGTACACTCCCGTCAATTTGGTTGACAGTATCCAACCAATCCTTTCAACATATGTGACAGGTCTACCAAAAAAAAGACCCTACCTTGTATCACCAATATTGAGATGTTTTCTTCCAAAAGTATCAATAGATTTGCAAGGCACATGTTCTCTAGCTAAAGATTTTGACATAGACCTTTTTCGATTGTCATCATTCACTTGTGCTGGTGAAATTGCATACACCCTTGGGGCTTTAGCCCCTTTGATGTACCCAAAAAAAAAATAGAAATTGCATCCACCCTATTTTGTACACTGGGGCCATAGTCAGGGACAAAGATTGGAAATTACACCCGTTCGCCTCAACTGAAGGTTTTCCATCAGAAAACTAAATTTGTTTCAACCATGACTTGTATATGCCATTGCTTGGAATGATGGCATGCGGGTTATCATGATATGCATGGAAATAGTGGTTCAAGGTAGATGGGTTTGTGAGATTCTCCCCGTTTCAATCTTTGTATTGTTGCAAAAGCTTGGGGCCACGCTAAAATTGATTTTGGAAATACTATGCTGGTTTTTGTTTTGGTCATGTTGGGATCCTTGGCAAAGACTTTGGTTTCAGCCAAAGGTGAGTTAGTGTAACAACCCAAGAAGTTTTCAAGCTTTGGTCCTTCTTCATTTGAATTTCCACCAGCTATTGCATTTTTATATCTCCATTCTGTGAGCACCAATCAATATTGGAATGTGAAAAAACCAAAACTCAGATAGATACACATTTAATTGCTAGCAAAAACTTTACCTTCACTACCGTGGTTCCCAGTTGCTACAGATGCAATATCGTGCATGGAGAAACCCAAATCCAATTTTTTGATGGGGGTAAAAGTAGTCAACCAGAGCCAGATCCACAGAGTCGGTCCACCACCGGTTCGCCATGATTGTTGAAAAAGAACGAGTAAACTCAAACATTTGCAATATATTGAAAAATAATAAATTTATATAAAAGGGATAATGAACAACTAGTTATGGTTAATTAGAAAAATAACTATATATGTAGATAAATTAGTGAGTTAATAATTGAGTGTTGTGTTGGTATACGATGTGTTACAAGGTAGGAGTAATGAATTCTCTTGTTAATTGCACAGTTCGATTCTGTGCTGCCTTTTTTGGTAGACCCATCACATATGTTGACGGGATTGGTTGGATACTGTTAATCAAATTGACGGGAATGTACATATATGCGTCAACCAAGTTGACAGGATTGTATGTTATGCTGATATGGCACCCGGTCTCGCCAAGCATGCTGATGGGACTGCTCTTGTTAGTTTCATCAACGCGTTTGACTACTCTACTCCGGTATTACATTTAAAATGTGCTTTAACTTGGAGAAACTTTAGCCAAATGTTGGTAGTATGGTCGTTTTGCCTGTTGAAGTTAGCTCCTCAACAAGCTCTTGAACACACATGTTGCTTGCTATCAATGTGTTTGAGATGAAAGCACCAAATGTTAGTGTTATGGACTCATGCATGAGGCCTATTTATTACTAGGCCCAGCAAGGGGCAATCTAAATATAAATCTAATATAATTAAATGATAATATCCATCAAAGATATAAATCTTACTACAACAACATTAAACATGGGCTTGAGGCTGTTAGAAAGGCACACAAGGTCCAAAATCCAATATACAGGTAAACTCTATAAATATGATGTAAAGCCTATAAGTATGATTATTTTCTCGTTATTATTATTATGTTGTCAGTGTGCACACACACCACTCATTTGGCGAAAGCTGTCTTTTATTCTTTGTACACAGTGATATATTAAATTCAAAGATATCTAACTCATAAGTATCTTAGAGAGGGAACCTAGATCCAAAAATATTTTATTAACCTATTTGGGTTAGACATCTCTGTTTTCTAGGCAGAACAATTAGCAACATGGAAAACAAATTAGAAGAAAAGAGAATAGAAGAAAGAAAACTTTATTGAAACTTTTAATACATGCAAATACATAAGAGTACGAAGCCCCTGCATAAGCTTGTACATCTGCTAACTAAAAATACTCTACGTAACCACCTGAATTACTATTCATTGAGCACCTCTAACAACATATCTCCTAATACACGTTGGCATATATATTTCTGCATGTGTATATTACGCCTACATATACAACTACCAATCATCTTTTGTCCAAGCTTGGGCTCGTTTCTCACGTGCAAATTTCCTTGGTTGACATGTAATACAAGTCTAACCAAATTGTGTAGAACTCAAAATGGATTTCAGGGTTTAATATGAGAAAGATAAGAAAAACATGAAAATAGAAAATAGAAAAACTTGTTAGGAGTGGGTCAATGGTGAGGGGCTTGGATAAATTACGGTTCAAATCTTAACAGCCTCTAAATACCATTTTTTTGTAGTGTTCATTGACACATATTATTAGTTTCCTATAACAATTTTAGGTAATCTGAGAACTGAAAAATTTATAGCAAAATTTAACACCAAATATATATGGAGCAGGATATTCTTACACTGGTGTAAGAGTTAGAAGTCTTACACTCAATCTTGACCATTGATCCATTTGTATCTAATGGTTCACATTACTAAAAAATTTGAGCCCTTAGATATAAGTGGGATTAACAGACAAGATTAAGAGTGTAACTTATACTGATGTAAAATGATCCTGACCCAGTATATATATATATATATATATATATATATATATATATACTTATATATATATTGTTTGTCATTTGTTCATCTTGACACTTGATGCTATTTTATACTAGTCATGGTTTTTGGGCACCATTTTGTCATTTATTGTGTGTTTCTTTAATTTGTTATCTGGCTAGATTCTTGTTTAAAGTTTTGAACATCTGACTATTAATTTATTGTTTTTATATATGTTGATTATCCCATACAATGCAAAATCTAATATCTAATTATGATTGCTTATTTCTTTGTAATCATGTCTTCAATGCAGTGCATCAATGGGCATATTGCTTGCTCCTTATGTTGTGCCAAACTTTTGTATAAGTGTCCCTTTTGCTCAATGCGTATTGACCACAGCCGTTGCCTTGCTATAGAGAAAGTACTAGTGTCACTTCAAATAGCATGCCAAAATGCAACATATGGTTGTAATGAGATATTAAGATACAGCCAAAAATATGAGCATGAGAAGACATGTATCTATGTACCATGTTCATGTCTAGGTTGCAACTTTGTTGCCAAGTCAAGCGACTTATATCTCCACTTCAAGGAAAATCATATGAATGCTAAAACATCATTTAAATATGATGAATTTTTCTCTGTCTTGTTAAGTCATGATGAGAACATCGTTGTTCTTCAAGAGCAAATTGATGGCAAGCTGTTTGTTCTCAAAAATAAGGCATCAGAGAACCAAGGAAATGCAGTGACTATTTATCACATCGGGCCTAATTCACCAAACCCAATTTCTTATTATGAAATCAAGGCTAGGTCTATGGTGGAAAACAAATCTGTGCAATTCCTAGCTTCTGCCCAAAACATTCAAGGCTTCACATTTGGCAGTGCTTCATCATCACCAAGGTCTCTTTTGATTCCATTGGATTTTTTTAACTCTCATGGACGGCTCGTGCTGGAAATTTGCATAAATTTATATCCTATAAAGCTGAAAGAAGTCCATAGGTGCTAGTGTGGTTTACATTTGTATTGGATATGGAAATTCTTTCTTGGTTTTTTCCTTTATGCATTGCTTCTGTTAGAGTGGATTTGTATTTTACTTTAATTTTCTAGTTACTGGAACTGTGTATGCTCTCGAGTTTGTTTAAATTGTTGGCAGGACTTCTATGCTTCTTTAGATGATGACTTTTTTTCAAAGGTAGTTGATTCATGAATACCTTCAAGAATTAAGAAAAGAGCCTTCTTGTCCTTCCTATCATGTGTTTCTTTAAGTATCATTCTTTGTGCATCTCACAAAGCCGATTCAGTGGTTGCATCTACGAGCTCTGAGTATTCAGCTTCAACAAGCTCACAAATATCCTGTGAACCCGTGAGAGTCTTTATATTAGGGCTCCAATTTCCATAATTTGACTTTGTCAATTTTGGAATTTAGAGTTGAATCACTTTCACAATCTTTATTGGGACACGATCGAACCAATGGCTTTAATACCATTGGTTGGAAATGTAATAATTAAAATTAACACAAAATCAATAAAATTTTTATTAATACCAATCAGGACACACCTCTATATTTCTTCTACTCACAAAAAACTCCCTTTCTTTTTTCTCTTTACTTTAGTACTTCTGTATTGTTTTTTTCTTACTTAAAACAATTGATTTTTCACACACATACATATAATCTATACAGCACTGACACTTCAAAAAATCTGAAGTGTCGTGTTCGACACTCTTTGACCTCCGATACTCTTTGACACTCCTAGATGCTCTAACAACTATAATATTTGAAATTTCATTACATATCATGAAAAAATTAATCGATGTTTAAACAAACTGATATAATAAAAATAAAAAATTGATACCGAAAAATCTCACTGGAGTGTATAAGAGATTTTCAATTTAAAAATATAATGGTAAATATTTAGATCTTATGTTTCTTTGCAAAATTGATGGGTATTATAAGTTCGGTTTTATTTTTTTTGTTAAATTATTGAATATTAAATATAATATACATTACATAAATTAAAATTATTTAATATTAAAACGTGCCCTAACATATCGAATCTAATATTTCTTAAAATTAATGTATTGAAATGTCGTGTCGTGTTTTATATCCCATATCGGTGTCGATGCAACATAGCATACCGAGGTGCTCCTATTTATAGATGGGCACACCAACTTGATGCCACCATCCTTTTCTAAGTTCATAATGCAATACAGCTTGTTAGGATAAGATTTAGAACTCATAAGGAAAAGAGTACAACTCATTATAATAAAGATACAACTCATCTACTTCTAAATTACCACTTCCGGATTCTTCAAGTATGGTGGTGGAGAAAGAGCATACCACAGTCATAGAAAACTTAGGACACTTCTAGGGGGCATTTGGTAGAAGATTTTTTTTAAAATTTTTGGGAAACTGAGGGTGGTAATTTTATTTACTTACGTTTGATATGAGATTTTTAAATTTTTTTTGAAAATCTGATTTTTCGGAGATTTTATTTTGTGTGTGAAATTTTCTGAAAATACCATCCAAGAATACCACCCAGAGAGTGGTATTTTAAGATTCTCATGGCAAAGAAAAATTTAACACAACTAAACATTGTATTAAGAAAATTAACCCAATATTTTCAAAAATATTTTGACCTACCAAATAGCTTTTTGATAATATTCCTTAAAAATTTATTTTCCCATCATATTCTTGGAAATCGTGATTTTTGAGAAAAAAAAAATTCATTCTTCTCTAGGTCGCTGGGAGAGAAGAGAACGATTAGATTTAGGTTTGCAAGCATTTTTTATTTTATGTTTTTAATAAAACAACGCTGTTTCATGAAATTTTCTTAAAAAAAATAAAATGCAGTGACTCCCTTTGACCACTCTGATCCGGAAGTTACTGAAACCCGACTGGGTTTTGAGAGTCGGAAGGGTCGATGTGCATATAGAATCTAACTTGTGACCCCAACTCTCAGAGGAAAAAGGTCAGAGTTGACCCGGGTCAACCCGGGTCAACCCGAAAAACAGAGTGAGATTTTAAAACACTGATGTCAATCCGTTATAAAATAGAGCAAGTATATGTTTCCAACCCATATTTTAAAGACGGACTAACTCATCTCGCCCCGATTTTAACAAGTTAGTGGAGACGAACTAACCCACTTTGACACCTATTAGCAAGAGGGAAACTTACTCTGCACAGATAAGGCATGCTCTTATTATTGTAGGAATGAATAATTTCAAATCAATCAAATATAAAATTTAATTTTGGTTAAGGCGGAGAACGACCTTGCTTCCTCTTAGATTCTTCTATTTTCCCATGTATACAAAAAAAAAAAAAAAAAAATATATATATATATATATATATATATATATATATATCAAATTTAGTTAAAGGTAACTTAATAATTTTTTTTTTCTCATTTTTTTTTTCTATTTTCTATTATCAAATTTTTCTTGTTTATATATGCATATTTCATTATCTAAATGCGTTAACACGGATTAAAGCCCAATAAACAACCCATCCAAGCATCTAAGCCCATTTTGTGATTGGGGCTTCCTTTCCTAATCCATAGAATAAATGGTTTAGGGTCCAAAAAGCAAAAACATTGGTGTGAATGCGGTGAGTGCACTTTGTTCTGTATATTATGTTAGCCTGGCTGTGAGTGTCATCTTGTACATAACTCCATGTTGCAGCAATGATTTGTGATATAAAATGCGACAAAATTCTGATATGTATATCAGTTGATTTGAGTTCTAAGTGTTTGTGTCGTGTCCTCTTCTAATTGGCCGGGTGCAAAAGTCCAAATACCGTGACTTTTGAATTTTGATACATATAATATTTGGGAAGAATATATGTCATTTTTAGAGATGTAAAATTGTGTCATTTTAAGAGAGAGAAAAAGATAGATAAAGAGATGACAGAGTTGACAAAAAAAAAGTTGTGAGTCCCGCTAAGTAAAATGACAAAAATTATGTTATTTAAAAGGATAAATATTTCTCCTATAATATTTTCATAAATTCTTTTATCTCACCATTTTTGCAAATTGTAAATCAAATTTGTTGTGACACTTTACTTTAGCCTTGGATTTATTTTTAAATTTTCAAAAAGGGCTTTGGCTCATAATTGTTTTGAACAATTTCAAATTCATTAGTTGATTTTGTGGACCCTGTGAGGGGGTGTTACAATCGTGGGTTTGACAATGTCTATTCAAATTGGAACTGTTGAATCGGTGGGATTCGAACTCTGAGTCTTGTGAGAATGTCCCACAATAACTTACCACTAAGCTGAGTTTATTTGTTAGTTAATATGCATCATTTAATATATATATATATATATATATATATATATATATATATATATATATATATATATATATATATATATATATATATATATATATATATATATATAGGACATGATCATCTTACACCGGTGTAAGAATAATAAGTATTACACCAAACCTTTGATTTTCTGCATCTAACGGTTAAGATTTATTAGGTCTCACTCATTAATTAATTTTTAATTCTCAATAAATCTCAACCGTTGGATGCACGAAAATCAACGGTTAAGATTTGGTGTAAGATTTATTATTCTTACACCGGTGTAAGTTGATCCTATATATATATATATATATATATATATATATATATATATATATATATATATATATATATATATATATATATTGTCATTTAATAGAATTATTTCAAAATAGCATTTAGTGAGAATCTAACCCATGTTATGAAGATATAAATTATAGTCTTTACCACTAAACTACTTGCACCATTTAAAATATTTATTATATAATTGAGTATAAAATATAAATTTATATATATATCCGGTTCATGCGGTTGAACCAGTGACCCACTGGTTGAACCAGTGACCCACTGACCTGGTACCCTGACCGGGTCGATCACCGGTCCGGGTTTAATAACATTGCCTTTAATTCAACTTTTAATGATAATCTCTTCTAGTCTTCTGTATGAAATATTTTTTTTTGGGTGAAAATGTGGAAGAGTATCTGATGCTATATTCGTTATCATATATGCTTTATTTCATGTGGTTCACTGCTCAACCTTAACATGTTGGGAAATTATTTCAGGGGACTATTAGGGCTGATCACTGTGGTGCTTCAAGTTTGTTGAAAGAGAATCTTTTTTCAAATCTTGATTTCATGCATGAGTCACTGTTTTGATTGAACAAAGACATGAGGTTTACCCTGCTTTCCAGATTAAATTTGTCGTCTTAGGAGGCCTGATAAATGCAGGCCTTTGCAAAGTAGATGAACCTTCCCCAATCTTCTTAGGCGCCTTAAGCTATGAAGCACCGATACCGACACAGCATTTTTGATACGTTCTCGATACGCGATGTCAATACGTTACTTGAAAAATAATAATATTTTGATACATTCCAATATGTCTTAGTATAATTTTTTTTTTTAAAAATATAGATTATCCATACATCAACTTGATGGAATATTATTGAAATATAGTTTTTTTAAATATAATTTTTTTGATAATATTGATAATTTTTTTTGAAATATAGTTTACATACATCATTGAAGGTATCAACTGCATCTTCACTAATGTCCCAATATTGACTTTCTCCTTCATTATATTTTCGACTCTTTCTTGATAAGAACCGAAGGTTGTTATGTATGTAAACTAAGTCTTCAGCGCGTTTGGGATCCATATTATTCCTCTTCATGGAATGCACAAAAGAGTAAGTACTCCAATTGCGTTCAGCACATGATGAAGAAGAGGGTTGTGCAGTGAGTTTCAAAGCTAGCTTTTTAAGCAAAGGTGCACTATAACCGTGAACTCCCCACCATTCATTGGGATTTATTGTATTTCAATTTTCTATAGCGTCAAACTCTCTAAAATCTCTCTTCATTTGAACAAAGTTGACATACTCCAAATTTACTGTAGCCCTTTCCTCCATACTAGAAAAATGTCTTCTGAAGAACTTTTTTACTTCTAAATTAAACTCCACATCATTGTCTAGAGAAACTCGATTTGGAT